TAAGCTCAGAGCAAGAAGCATCCCTGTCCACAAGCAAACAGTGTTTCAAAAGAGATTAAACAGAACACTAATGCCTCTAATCCAAACTGCTTGGTGGGCATAGATAGGGCAGGTTTGAGCCACAGGTCCTCATCCCACACTCAACACACTGGCACAGCTCTTTTCTAATATGAAAGATTTCTTGCTGTCCTGTTTAAGGAAACTGGTAAGACTAATGGACTAATATGATCAGCTAACCAATACATTAAGCCATGTGCTCATCATAGAATTTTAGGGGTTGGAATGAACCTTAGAGACCACCCAGCCCCAACCCCCTGCCCTGAGCAGGGACATCTCCCACCAGACCAGGCTGCTCAAGGCTTCATCCAACCTGGCTGTGAACACTGCCAGGGTTGGGGCAGATCTCAGCTGCAATTACCCATATTCTACCATCATGTTTATAAAGCCAAATGACATGTCAAGTAGCATGTGTTGCTTCTAAGATGATTTCTAAGGTGAAAAAGGTCTCTGGCTCACACTGCATCTCACTGTCTCACTACATATCTTAAGCATGTATCTCATTTCAGAAGATCATGTCTCTCTGGGAGGGTTAAAGAATGAGATCTGCACAGCTAGCACAGCAGACTGCAAAACAAGTTCCAGTCCAACCTCAATGCATTATGCAACACAAATTGCATTATTTCTATTGACATGTTGAGGGTTTTTTAATGAACAGAATTATGGAGTCCATGGCTGGAGCCAGAAGACACCACAATGCTAAAGGCTCTTTGTTGTCCCTCCTGATCCCCACAGGCATTTGGAAGGAATGCCATTTCCCAGCGAAGTCAATGGGAAAATCACTGCACTTGAACCAATCTTTAAGTCAACAAGATTCTTGCCTGAGCAGGACTGAGAAATCACCAAGTCAGTTCTGAAAGCCACACTTGAGCGTGGATGTGTGGCCAGAAGACTTTGTTTCATTTCATTAGAACTACTATGGTACAGTAATTACAAATAACACTCTCTAGTTTAACTTTCAGGAAGCCTCGTGAGTAATTTGCATCAGTTTTTCCCCCTTAATGAACTGATTTAAGACCATGGAGCTGCAGGATGAGGATACCTCTTAGCAGAGGAAATGGGAGTTTATGGGTGCTTAGCGCCTCACAAAATGAGGCTTAGAGTAGAAAGCCTACAAACGAGTGGTTCTTAGTTTAGCAATCGAACACTGCTTGTCAGCAAGTGAGGATGGAGGATGCTGCAGGGAGCCAGATTAATGCAGCTCTCTTTGAACGTTTTAATAATAAAAAAATGTTTTCATGGCAGCCGATCAAGAAATTTCTCTGTAATCTTTTATGTACTGACAACATATCAATGATGGGTATAAAAACTCTTGCAATTAGCCTTGGTCAATCCATTAGTGTAGCTGAAATTGTTCTTTTTTTGTCAGATTGGCAATTTTCCACTGGGTCGTGGAGTATAAATCACGGAGCTCCTGTGACATTCTGCCAATACGTGATTACTCTTCTCACTAAAGAAGCATGTGGAAAGCAGCCTAAGATCCCTCTTATTTTATCAGTTTATACTTTTGCATTGCCATCTTCTTCTCAAACCATTTTATGTGAGGTGCAACCCCCAATACACACAGTCTTAACACAAACCCTTCTAGATGTCACTTTGATGTGCATCCAAAAAGTACAGATCCAAGACTTCTAGTACCAACAGCAACAGTTTAGGAAATTCTCATTATCTCCTTTTTTGTCTGCAGGAATTCAATGTAAGGTACAATAAACTGAGATGGTCTGTCTTACAAATGGGTCCTAGAGCCAGAAAGCCGAAGGCAACATCAGCCTGTTTGTTTGATCTTCTTTCTGGCTGATGCAAAATATGCCCTTCTGACATCCAACTGCAGAGATGGATGTCATTAAGTTTTCAACTTTGATCTATTAAAGGAAATATAAGTAGCAGCCTGCAAGATCCTGTTTTGTTTAGGGTTGGGTTTTTTTTTTGCCTTTACCTAGATGTGATCGACCAGCTGTAAAGGAGGAGGAGTATTCCCTCATCTGCCTCAGAAAAACACAGAGCACACATGGCAGATGCCTGTTATGAAGTCGAAGAGGTGCAAAGAAAGCCAACACACTGCACTGTAACCTCCTTCATTTGAGAGCCACGCCAAAAGCCACAAAGTCAACAGCAGATTTTCCAATAGATTGAGCTCCGCAGCAATCTAACACTTTTCCATTAAAGTCTACTGTTAATTTAGAACATTTCTCCACTTAACGAAAGCTGCTCTGCTAGTTCTTAATCACAGGCCGTTAAATTCACATGGCCTAAGGTGACCCTGCGGTGGATGCCCTTAAACCATGCAAAGAAGCACACTCAGCCCTGCCTTTCCCCACGCAAGATGACTGGGGGAAAATCTGTTCCCAGCGGGAGGCAAACATAATAGATGATGAAATGAACTCTACCTCCCACAGGACAGATGGGAGAGGTGAAGTGAGAGGAGAAAAAAAAAAAAACACTCTGCTAAGCCAAAGAGAACTTCACAGGCAGAATATAGGAAATGCCCCCGTTTGGTGAGTTAGTCTGTTAGTAGTAAAACTGTACTCTGCACACTAGAGCTGCCTACTTCCTGGGATCCTGCATGCTTTCTCCTTTAAATAGGGTCAGATCCTGCTCTCCAGCATGCCAAGGCAATTCTGCCACTGCCTGTGGATCCCAATCGCAGCAAATTCATATAAGACCCAATTTCCTGATGGAAAGAGAGAATTTTCGTGTTGCCTTTACAGGGGTTTCTCTTTGAGTGGGACATGCAGCACTGGGCTCTGCCAAACTGGCCTGGATTTTTTTTGAATACAATGATAAGCTGCATGTTGGGTAGTGTTTTTCTTTAAGTAATATGCCAGATGGTCTGGGGGTGTGGTTTCTAATTTTATGAAGGGGGTTATCAGTCATCTCTGTGCTACAATATAGAGACCAAATCTGTCAGAATAGAAGAAAAACCTGCCCACTCTGACTTACAAAAC